TTCTTCTCTGTTTTATTTTATTTTATTTTGTCTCCTTCTGTCTCCTTTCTGTCTCCTTTTTGTCTCCTTTCTTTTGTCTCCTTTCTGTCTCCTTCTTTTTTTCTGTCTCTGTCTCCTTTCTGTCTCCTTATTCTCTGTCTCCTTATTCTCTGTCTCCTTCTTCTCTGTCTCCTTCTTCTCTATCTCCTTATTCTCTGTCTCCTTTTTGTCTCCTTTCTTTCTTTTGTCTCCTTTTTTATCTCCTTCCTATTCTCTGTCTCCTTATTCTCTGTCTCCTTTCTGTCTCTTTCTTTTCTGTCTCCTTTCTGTCTCCTTTCTGTCTCCTTCTTCTCTATCTCCTTATTCTCTGTCTCCTCTCTGTCTTTTTTTTTCTTTTGTCTCCTTCCTTATCTCCTTCTTCTTTTCTGTCTCTTTATTCTCTGTCTCCTTTCTTTTGTCTCCTTTCTGTGTCCTTCTTCTTTTCTGTCTCTTTATTCTCTGCCTCCTTATTCTCTGTCTCCTTTTTTTCTGTCTCTTTCTTCTCTGTCTCCTCTGTCTCCCTCTCTGTCTCCTTATTCTCTGTTTCCTTTTTGCTTTCTTTCTTTATGTCTCCCTCCACTCTGTCTCCTTTCTTTATCCTTTCTGTCTCTTTCTTCTCTGTCTCCTTTCTGTCTCCTTTCTGTCTCCTCCCTCTCTCCTTTCTGTCTCCTTTCTGTCTCTTCTCTGTCTCCTTTCTATCTCTTCTCTGTCTCCCTTCTGTCTGTTTTCTGTCTCCTTTCTGTCTCCTTTTTGTCTCTTCTCTGTCTCCTCTCTGTCCCCTTTCTGTCTCCTTTTTCTCTGTCTCCTTTTTCTCTGTCTCCTTTTTCTCTGTCTCCCTCGATAAGCACATCAGCCCTACCTTTGTTCGCCCCTCAAGCAAAACCCGAAACAAAAAAACAACACTAAACCCTAAACCCTAGCCGCTAAACCCTAAACCCTAGCCCGCAAACCCTAAACCCTAACTCTCAAACCCTAAACCCTAAACCCTAAACCCTAAACCATCAGGACA